ATCCCTTGTAGTTTGCTTTACTTATTGTTGGTAAAGACTTTTTTCATAAATAACAATTATTTCTTGTTTAGCAGATCCAAGGCTAGCAACTTTCTTAATCATATTTGTGTGACTAATTCCTATAAAAATTCTTGTCATATGATAGGAATTTGATAAATGTTAAATGTGCCAAATTATCTCAGTCCTAAATACATAGAAATTAATAAAATTTTACTGCATGAAAAGCCTGTTTAAGTTTATATTTTATCTAAGCTTAAGCTTACAAGTTGCCATACCATTTATCAGACTGAGAAGCCATTAAATTTCCCACTCAGAAATTTTCAACAATGTATAAGTTATCGATCAGTCTATTAAATTACTGGACATTAGAATACAACCAGATTTAGTTTCATGAAAGTACTGAAATAGAGAAAAAAAAAAACCTCGATGTGCATAAATTTTCATCCTGTGTTAGAAGTTACATAGGATTGTTCTAGTCCTTTCAAGAGAAGTCAGCTAGGAATCAAGTTTCTCAGTAGACTCAGGGAGATATAATTAAATGTAGACAAGTTATCAGGAGACTCCTTTGTGGATAAATGTTGGAATCAAAGACATGCATACTTTATTAACTTAATCATTAAGATCTCCCAAAGAAATACTTAGGTCTGAGGCTGGCACTCGGGGGTAGAATGCTTGAACAGTAGGCATCAGTCCTAGGGTTGTATCCTCAACATACCCCCCAAAAATAAGAAAAAAAGGAGAGACAAATGAAGCAGTTGGAAGTTTCCGACCTAAGGGTTCGTAAGAGAGACTAAGCAAAGGGAATATTCTAGCTAGACCTTCGGAAAGGAATGCGGTAGTTACTCTCTGTTCCTCATGCTCACTATTACTTTCTTCTTCGTTCAGATCAATACTGACAAATCTAATTCCTATCACTGGGCATGAGAAGAAATTTAAACAAGTTATATACTCCTCTCTCAAACATTTAAATACTAAATTATTTTAAAAATAGTCTTGTCGGGGCTGGAGAGATAGCTCAGAGGTTAAGAGCACTGACTGCTCTTCCAGAGGTCCTGAGTTCAATTCCCAGCACCCACATGGTGGCTCACAACCATCTGTAATGAGATCTGGTGCCCTCTTCTGTGTACATAATAAATAAATAAATCTTTAAAAAAAATAGTCTTGTCTACCTTTGCAAAGTTAAAATCTATAATTTTTATAATTGGAAAATATGTTTTGACAAGAAAAAGCAATATACAACTATGTCTTTAATATGCAAAAATAAAAATGTTTTACAATAAATTATTAAAAACTACACACTCAGCACATGAAAGCTAGATTTGGTATGAACGTTTTGTATAAATACTTTTAAAAATAAAACAGGAATAATAACTTGGTCACATTACATCCTTTATTTCTGTCTTGGCATAAAAAACATTGTAACATCATATCCATAATTTTGTCACTTTTTATTCTTATATTTCAAAATTCAGCTTTGATAGGGCTGGCCAGAAGAGATTTTAATAGAGAATTAAGAATCATAGATTAAGGCAGATATCCAGGGAATAATAATAAATTTTAGCATTTCTGCCAATTAAAAAGAGCAGCCGAGCCGGGCGGTGGTGGCGCACGCCTTTAATCCCAGCACTCGGGAGGCAGAGCCAGGAGGATCTCTGTGAGTTCGAGGCCAGCCTGGGCTACCAAGTGAGTTCCAGGAAAGGCGCAAAGCTACACAGAGAAACCCTGTCTCGAAAAACCAAAAAAAAAAAAAAAAAAAAAAAAAAAAAAAAAAAAAAAAAAAAAAATAAAAAGAGCAGCCGATGATGATCAACCAGTGAGTGCTACTGGGTACCACAATATGTGAAAAGTGACTGTGAGATGCTAGCACCATCCTGCACTGTGAGCGGTGCTCACTCAGCAGTGCCTTAGACCATGCTCTCACAGCAGACAAGGATGCCTAAAGAATGTTAGGAAGACGGGCAAGAACAATTGTGGGGCATTCGATTTTGCAAATTTGAAAAATGGATTTCTGTCTAAGAACAAAAGCACCACGTTGGGCTCAGCGAGTTTGTGAAGGCAGTGCTGCCTGTCCTCAGGTTTTCCACCCTAGTTGAAGCCTCCTTCCCACAATGGCTCATTGTGCACACTACAGAATCCTCAGAGTCTTCACATTTCAAGTGACAGGTGTTTTTAAGCAACACATGAGAATGGAACGTTCCTCATCCTTCTTACTATAATTTGCTTTTACAGCCTTCTCTGATAGTTTTAGTCATCCTTACAATAGAAAATCATCAAGACAATGCCATGATTTCACAAAGGGAAAGAATGACAGTTTCCCTGCTACTTTTCAAAACTGTTTTATACTACGATGTGAGATGAGCTTTGCTGAATGGCTAGAAGGGAAATCAGTTCTTACTGAGTGACACTCTATAATAAAGAACACCTACACCTGAACCACACACTCATCTCTAAGTATTCGGTGCTGGCATTACTACCATCAGGGTCTGTCCCAGAATCATTTTCTGACAGAGAAAATACAGCTTTGTTTAGAATAAAGTGACAATGTCAGTAAAACAAGGAATAAAGCATGAAGATCTGTGAGTTTTATCCTTATCCACACATCGACAGCTCTGTTATTTCTTGCCTCCACTAAGGAGACTGGGCGCCGATCAGTGATTCATTTACCTGATCAATATTTACTATGGCCCTACCGTGCATCAGTGTTGCCCTGGGTGCTAATGGCAGTCATGGCCAAAACAGTTGCCTCCATGGTATAGACATATCTAAACAATTCCTCCAACAGAGAAATCCAGAATTATATGCTATGAATGCAATGAAGGCACAATGCTGGCTGCCAAGACACAAAAGCAGGAAAAACGAATTTAGACTGAAATGCCTCTGTGGATCATGGGCCATGAAGGGTATCAACAAGTCTGCCAGCTGAAGAGCTAGGAAAGAGCACTTCAGAAGGCATGGCTTCTAAGAAGTTCTTGGGCATCGCATTCCAAAATCCAAACAAAGTAGTAGGCCCAGATGCCAGGAGGAGTGAAAAGCAGAGTGTGAGCCATGGTCAAATGAGGGCCTGGAGATTTTCTCCTGAGAGCCCCTGGGGATGAAGCAGCAGTTGAAACATTGCTTCCTGATAAACTGTGTCTACTGCCTGAGGAATGGGCTAGGAGTTTCAAAGCCGAAACTGTAGCTGACTTTCCAATCCTTCTGTAAAAAGAACCTCCCACACCTCCCACTTTCTTTCCCAGCAGCAGTACCAATCTCACAGCACAAATGGCCATTCTGACATTGTTTCCTCGCCTCAGTGCCTGGCCCTGATTTTGTTCATTCCATGTAACTGTCCCCTGTTCCCTGCATCATCTTTACTAGTTAAATTCTTAAATGTGGGGCTGGAGAGATGGCTCAGAGGTTAAGAGCGCTGGCGTCTCTTCCAAAGGACCCAGGTTCAACTCCCAGCATCCACATGGGAGTTCACAACTGTCTGTAATTCCAGTTCCAGGGGATCTGATATCGCCATACAGACATGCATGCATTAAATAAAGAAAGAAATATTTAAGCCAGGCGGTGGTGCACACCTTTAATCCCAGCACTCAGGAAGCAGAGGCAGTCAGATCTCTGTGAGTTCAAGGCCAGCCTGGTATACAGAATGAGTTCCAGGACAGCCAGGTCTACAGAGTGAGATCCAGGACAGCCAGAGCTGCTATACAGAGAAACCCTGTCTTGAAAAAACAAACAAAAATTCTTAAATGTGGGGCTGGAGAGACAAGTCAGCAGTTAAGAGTACTTGCCGTCATACAGCAGTTCATACTATCTGTAATTCCTGTTCCAGGGAATCTGATGCCCTCTCTGGTCTCCACAAGCTCCAGGTACCCAGATGGCATACACACACACACACACACACACACACACACACACACACACACACACACACAGGATAAGCACTCATATACATAACAAAGATAAATAAATATTTTAAAAGGAAGTCTTTAAAAAAATTCAACATTCAAGGTAATCCAACTGCTAATCCAGTTCCCCATGAAGGCCTCATCCTTCTAGAAATCCTATGGAACTCAATATGAAATTCTGACAAGCAAGAAGGAAGTCCTGGCAAGCAGATGACATAGGCTATGGGTAAGCTGTCTGATAAGATTTCTCAGCACACAGCTGCCCGAGCCCACAGACCTACACCTAAGTCCTGGGCTGAAAACCATTAGTGAAGAACACACCTCTTCTATATTTTAAAACATGGGGAATTTGATTTAAAAGAAACTTACAAATACATTTTATGGTGTTACTATACAAACTTATTTGCACACACATACAGATAAACAGACAAAAGTTGTAACCAGATGATTTGTCTATTCCCTCACCTTTAATGTCTCCTTACTGTGCACAAAGGCATGAATATGTGTTATAAAAAAAAAACCAGGAAATCCAAGACATCTCAAGAATAAAGACAAGTCAGATCTCAGAAAGCTAAATCAGACTTCTGAAAAGTTATTCTTCTCCTCACCTGTCCTAGAACTGAGCCATAGTTCTACCTAGGAAGCAACTAGATTAACTTAGACATAGGCTCTTACATTCCACTTTTATCTGTTATTGGTGCTCTACCTACTTCTAGAAGGAACTACAGCTTCCTTTAAGTGAGAATTCTCAGTAACTGAGAATGGCTTCCCCCTGCACGCTCACAGAGAGATCAACGGGAGCTCACTGAGTCTGAACATGCCATTCTGCTGCAATTCCACCATCCATCCAAAGGCGATGGACCCAAGTCAGCCGTATACATAATCATGGCCTCTGAAAGACCATTTTGTATGAAAGTATGGTATAATAAAACAGGATTTTTGTAATTCTGATAACATTCGACCACTTTCATTATCTTAAAAATGATTTTATGGAAATTATTTCAAGTAGAGTCCATATTGGCACCTTAGGAAATGGTGGCAAAGTCCAACATGAAATAAAGCAATGCTATATACTCTGATGCCCCTTGAAGGCATCTTCTTACCCACCTTGATCTCTTTCATGCCATGTTCGACTTCCAGCAGCTGGTGAATTTGGAGAGGGATAAAAGTCTCCTGTAGGACTTGGCTCCATATTTTCATCTATGGATATAGTTTTGGGTCTTTTGCTGTTAAAATATAATAATAATGGCATTAATAGTCTTTCTAGAAAGATGTGTAGCATCCACCAAAAATTGACTTGATTAAAAAAAAATGACTTCCATAAATCCAAGTTAAAGTGATAGTTTGAAAGAATGGTGAGTATTCAAGACATCCAAAGGAAGAGTGAACATTCCTAGTACTATATACTACCTATCCTGAATGTACACACACACACACACACACACACACACACACACACACACACACACACACACCATCTATCTATTCCCATCCCTACCTAACAAAAAAAGTTTAGTATATTTACCTTCTCAGATTTTTTTTTCAGGGAAACTTCAGTCATTACAAGTGAACTCTCAATATGTCTTTTCTGCTAACATTAAAATTTTGTAAAGATGCACTGATTCATCTTATGGTTTTGATATTAATACTGTTCACTTCACAGCATTTGCCACAGACAATGCAATGCTTTGGGGAATAAGGCAATGGAACTGGGCAGTGAAGCGGCTTCAGAAACTCACATTTGACCAAGTCATTTATTAGATCCAATAGCAGGCTCCTCAACCCTTCTAAGCTCAGCTAATCACCTGTAAGGTGGAAATAATAAAACCCAGTTTAAAGGGTTTGGCTGAGAAGATGAAGTGAGCTAATAACTATAAAGCTTTCAGTTAAATGGCTTGCAGTTTGAAGATACTTATTAAATATTAATCATTAGTGTTGACCTTGTAATTAATAACATGAAGACCGTTTCTAGAACTTTACTAGTTGTAAGTATTCCATGTTCATTACCTTTTTCTTAAAGAAATTAGGCTACTGGTCCTTTATTCATGAGATCAACCATGAAAAATGATTATTGCCAAATCAAATGGTGTGATTTTAGAAAACACTTTGAGTGGAAAAACATGACTTACTTATTACAAAGAAAAGTAGATACCTACAGCAAAGATTAAAAACTAGTTTATGACATATGTGATACTTTTGGATACTCTACTTTGATATGCTCCAACCAATACCCTGGTAAACATCTAATTATTGACTCTGAAGTGAATATATTGTCTTTTACAGAATTCTTATTTTAACCTATGTTCTTATGCAACAACCGCAAAATACCACCTGAATTAACTTTATGCTCCGTTAATAAACGTAATGCCACCAAAGTTTGGAACTGCAGATTATTTCAAAGACTGCATGCAAACCAAGACCCCATTTTTAACAAACAGGGACAAATCTGGAGAAGTTCAGTGAATGTTCCCAGGACAAGTGAACAAAAAGAGGCACACCAGGAGGAGGAAGGTCTCCCAAGCAGGGCGCTACGAGGCCTGAACCCTTGAAGCTTGCATATGTCTCTGTTCGTTTGTAGTTACACTGTGGCTAATTGTTGGCTGACAATCCCTGGAGTACTAACATGACAATTTCTCCCCCTGCTAAAGCCTAGCAGGAATGATATCTCTTTAGTCTCTACCGAAAGTATCCAAATTTAGAGCTTATGCATATATTTTAAATTCTCCCTTTAATGTAATTTTCTTCCGCTATGAGTCAGCAGCAGTATGCAAAAAAACTAAGGAAAATTTATTTCCACGAGGAGCCACAGAGAAATGTCTTTAAGCCCTGCTTATTTTGAAGGACAAAGGTTGGCCATGATGAAAGACCTGTGCTGACAACATACGGATCCGAATGGAGGAAATTAAAAAATCGTAATTCACATTTTAAATTTAGAAAAATTAAAGCACTTTTAAGACCGTGACATATCAGAGATAATTTCAGTGAAAATAAACCCAATTATCTTGATATACAGTCTAATTACATGAAAATACAGTTGGGCCATAAATGTTATAAAATCGACCTTACTTTATAAACATAAACATGGATATTCCCACAACTATTCAAAGACAATTAGCCTTCATTACTGAAAAGAATCTAGAAAAATACTTTCCCAGATTGTCTTTTATTTTTAAAATTAGCATAATGCGTGCTTGTTTTATGGAATTCATACGTTCTTATGTTAGTCTGTGGATATATTGAATGCTCTGAGAATGAGATGGGTCTTCGTACATGGAAGACGCAACTCAAAAAATGAAAAACCCACATCTATAGTAGTTATCTTGAATGAAAGTTATAGAGGTAGGAGAAAAAGAAAACATGTGAGCGCAGACTGGTTAAGCCAGTCTCAGAGCTGCTGAGGCTTTCCTTGGTACCAGGAGAGTTAACTGATTTAGTCAGAGAAACTCAATTAATCGAACACTGCAGTCTCAAATCAGGCTTTTAATGGTAAGGCTAGGGGAATGACACTTTTTTCAGTGCAGATGTGGTATTACAGCGAAAGTTGTCAGGATGTACTGGCTATCCATGAGGGGTCACTGCAAGCAGTATCACCTACATGGTTTTTAAAATGTATTTATGTGTATGGAGGTGTTTTGCGTGGAGGTGTACCATGCGCACACCTGGTGTCCATAGAAGTCAGATAATGGTGTGTTTCCTGGAACTGGAGTTTTCATATGGCCGTGAGCCACCATATGGGTGCTGGGAATGGAATCCAGGCCCTCTGTGAGAGCAACTTTTGCTCTTAACTACTGAGCCATCTTTCTAACTCCCAGTATCACTTTTAAATTTGCCAAAAGATTAACTGGCAGAATTATATTTCATGCCATAAGACAAAATCTCATTAATATAGTTCATTCCCGCCCCTCCCCACCAAAATAAAAACTTTAAAGGTGCTTTGAACAGCAATTGCGTTCAATATGAGATTATAAAAAAAATGATTCTGGCAAAAATGTAAAGTCTGTGTATTGTCAGTAGAACAAGTGTTACCCCTCTTTACTGTCTGTCTGTACTGTGGCCTATCTGTCGCGTGCACAGCATCACGGTCATTACCTGCTCGGTGGAGAAGACAGCGACCTCTGCAGGTTCACACCAGAGTTCATGTCATGATAGTACGGCTGGCTGGGGATTTCTCCGATTGGGAAGTTGACTCCAGTTCCCTGGGTTATGGGTGCTGAGGAATACATTTTTTTAAAGACACGTTGTAAATGCTATTCACAGTTATCTCTGTTCAGATATAAACCCACTAATTTTTTTTCATGGCTCTGGGCAAGAGCTCTCTTGACCTGCAGATGCGATATTCCTTGTATGCTGTGGGTAAGACCCCAAATCCTCAAGTCAAGTTTGAGCATTCCAGAAATTCACACTAGATCCCTGGGCTACCATGTCCTCTCCTCCCACTACCCAATCTTCTTCATTCATGCCCTCATCTTAGAAATCACTGCATCTGTCATTCCCCAGGTTGTAGATGTGGGCAGAGCAGAAAAAACAGTCCCCATTACTTAGAACCAAACAAGAGGCTTGCACCGAACTAAATCTTTGGGATTTATATATATGAATTTCATAAATAAATAAAGATCCAAAGCTATTATCCTGTATTAGTTCTAATGTCAGCATTAGAATGAAATAAAAATCATGATGGTTAGCAAGGTCTGGTGGCATGCATCTGTAATCCCAGAACTAGGGAGGCTGAGGCAGGAGAATAGAGAAGTCAAGGCCAGACTGGACTATGTAGCAAGTCCAAGGCCAGTCTGATGTACATAGTGAGACCATGTCTCAAAATAAACAAAATAAACAAACATAAAATCACAATGTGTATAATTTGGTTTAAGTAAATCTAAAATTAGGGCAGGAATGAGTAAAGCTTATGGAATATGAACTAAAACCCTAAGTGTTTTGCAAATCCCTATTAGAAAGGTTTTATAAATGAATATCCATTGTCTCTTCACTCCATATACTGGAGTCTAAGGACAAAAAGACTTTCAGTTCAAACCCTCTGCCACTTATACAGAATGTGCCTCAGTTTCCAAATAATAAGAGGGGAAACCTAGCCATATGGTTATTTGGGTATAAAAGAAGTAGCAGTAGTGATAGCTAGCATCATGTCTACTGCACAGTGTGTTACTCAGATGTGAGCTCCCTTCCTGTGTTTATAACCCTCCTCTGGTGAAATGCAGTAGTTGGTAAAGACAGAACAGTTTTTAAAAATGTGCTAAAAATCAGGCGAAGACAAATGAACCCATTGGATGGAAGTTTATTCTTTAAAAAGCTATTGGCTGAGGAATCAGGAGAGAGTTCAGTGGGTACAGTCCTTACTGTGCAAGCAAGAAGATCTGATTTGGGATCCTCAGCATCCATATAAAACAAGTATGGCAGCATGCACTTATAATTCCCGTGTTGGGAGGTGGAAAGGATGACCTCATGGGTTCCCAGCCAAGTTCAATGACAGATACTGCCTCAAAACATAAGGTAAAGAATGATAGAAGATCACATGTTGGCCTATGGCCTCTGTATGAGTGTTCACATGCGCATGCACACACACACACACACACACACACACACACACACACACACACACACACACACAAACAAACAAATATATATGTGGAAGGAAGGAAGGAAGGAAGGAAGGAAGGAAGGAAGGAAGGAAGGAAGGAAGGAAAGAAGGAAGGAAGGCTGTTGCCTGTGCCTATTACAAGCAGGCATTACACTGGATACAAAACATACAGTGCAGTACGTAGAGCAAACGAAACACTTGTACAAACATTAAAATACTCCAGCAATGTAGAAAGTAGCAAAACTGGCCCAGTGAGCAGCATAATCAATATATTCTGTAGGTTTTGCAAGAAGAAAGAATAGTAGTGACTTGAATGGTCAAAAATAAAAATAAAAATACTATGAAAAAACCCTATCTGGCAGAAACTTTGGAGAAGGAGCAAGGCACCCAAGGAATATTTTTCCAAACCGATGTGCCTGTAGGAGTGAATTCGAGAATAGAGAAAATATATAAAGTGAAGAACTAGGCAGCCAGTGTCAAGGGGCAGTGTGCGAGGCCAGCTGAACCCTCCAGCCTTCAGGAGGTCTATTCAGAGTGCACTGGAGACTTGGCGACAGGTTTCTGGAGCCCTTGAAATCCACTCCCACACACAATCTGCTTAGCCACAACCTCTCCTAACTGCCCTCAGCTGAATGTGTAGGGACTCCAAAGGATCGCTAATTTTCAAGAATTTTTTTTTCACCCAGAGCTTTTAATAACATTAAAGTGTATGTCTATCAATTTGATTGCATTTTAATATCTGTTAGGCGAAGATTAACTTCAAATGTTCCTCGGAAAGTACGATTAAAAGGCGTGTGTTTACTGCAGAGAACTAATCAAGACGATGTAGAGAAGATCTCTCTCTATTAAAATACAGCAAATCTATCTATACATGCAAGAAGAGTCCATTTAAATTATTCGATATACGTAAACCTTCTTTATACAAAAAATATTTTTATGCTGAATGTAAAAGTTATCTGAATTATTTAGCCAGCTGCAGTACTGATGTTTGTTGTGAACTGAAGTATGCCAGAGGTTTAGAAATGTGGACTTTCTTACCTCACAGTAGCCACATGCTTTAAAATTGATTTGTAGAACCTTGGTCTATGTGGCATGAGAAGCAGGGTATGTGTTAGAAGTAGGTAGCTGATTGTCTCAGAGACTGCGAACAATCTGCCTGCCTCCTACAGCAGAGATATACCATCTCAGACTGTTCAGACTGGGGTCACTCCCTCCGGTGGAGCCCCAGGTATCTGACCCATGTCACTAGTCTTTCTGTCCCCCTCTTACCTAATTCAGTCATCCCTCAGAAGAGACAAGTTACCGGAAGTCTCCAGTGTCTGTGTGCATCACTCTCCACTAAACTTGCTATTTGTTGTGGCCACTTCAGAAATCCAAGTTATTTGACAATGTACAGATAAAAATGACTAGAATTTTACCAGTCGTATCTTTTGGAAACAATTTTTAAGACATTATGATTGTACAGTACTTAGGCAAATTTCTTTCTACTGGATACAGATACCTTAATAGTCACTACAGTTTGTATGGCCATAACCATGCTGGGTACAGTATGCAGTAAAATGGTAATTAAAAAAAAAAACCTTCAGGGTCAGGCATGGTGATGCAGGTCTTTGATCCCAGCACTCGGGAGGCAGAGGCAGGTGGATCTCTGTACGCTCAAGGACAGCCTGGTCTACAGAGTGAGTCCAGGAAGAGTAGGGATACAGGCTAGTCAGGGGTACATGGTGAGACCCAGCCTAAACACTGTAAAACTCAGTATGCATTCTGAGAGTAAATGGGAGCTTATTGCAAAGAAAGTAAATTAATAATATACATGACCAAAAACCCTGAACAATGCACATGTTCCTAAGGGTCAGTAGAACATTTGAGAAAAAGCAAGCTTGCCAGAGCTCTCTGCTGCTAAGCCTCTGGAAGCGCCCACAGCAGATGCAAACATGTCTCTCAGCACCTTCCAGACAGCATTCCAAGAAAGCCAAAGTCGTAAAAGGACACTGGAAGTCCTAATGCCCTCCTAGGAGCTATGTGCCTAAGAACCTTGGCTTCCAAAGGTTCTTAGATGACAGAAGCTGTCCTTAACCAACTTTTAAGATGGAGAAAATACCATTCGGCAGAGTTATCACTCCCCTGAAACTGAATGAAACTACCCTGCTGAGGTCAACATGGACATTAGTAGGTCACGTGACAGTAAAATGCTAGACCAAAGAAGCAGGGGCAGGCCAGGAATCAAGAAGCCAGAACCTGTAACACACAGCATAAGGCTTGTGCAGAAGTTTGACTGAGCAAACCCCTAGTTCATAAACAACGAAGTTCAACTGTGTAAACAAGAAGGTACTGTGAATATATTAAAATGCTTAGGAGAATAGGACTTGAGAGCATCTCAGAGACATCTATTTACATATGGAGGAGAAAGTAAATGTTTGCTGAATAAATTAACTAAGGAATGAATATGGATAATTAATGTACTAATTACAAATCAGTAATGTTTGTTATGATACATAACTTAAAAACCTCTAAGAAATGACAGTATGAATTAAGAATAAATGAATGAAACATGTTAAAGTTTACCTTGTTTCTGAAATGTTATGAGAAGATACTTTTAATTTACATTTTATGTCTGAAATTTCAATTTTTCAAGGCTCTTGAAAGTTCCAAAGTGGCTCTCATTTGACAGTTCTAGGCATAGTGTTATTATAATGGGGTACTATGTGAATCTTTTTTGATGGATGCAGTGTTATCTATAATGTGGTACCATGTGAATCATTTCTGAAGGATGGCTCTACTAGCCTTCTCATAAGAAGGTACAAAATCCATTATGAAGCTTTCAAAATGGTCCAAGTGGAAAAAATAGTTTCCTATGCCCTATAGCTTCACAGTTTAGCCTCTCTGCTAAGGAACATCTTCAAATACCCCCTTCTTTGGAGGGGTGGGGGATCTGAAAAATCACACATGGCCTTAGATGATGGACTAGACCACCAGGAGCCTCATGTAAAGTACATACATACACCAGAGCTGCTGGGATATACATATTAACTGCCATTCCTGATGCTGCTCCCAAGTAGATGAACCCATGACACCTTTATCTACTCTGAATTCTAGAGGAAGAGACAAGGTACATAAAGTCTTGAGTATTCCTGTGTCATTCTCTGATAAACAGGTTTTTTGTTGTTGTTTGTTTGGTTTTGTTTTTTTTTTTTTTTGCTTTGTTTTGTTTTGTTTTTGTCCTGGAATGTTCAGAAATCTGAGTTATTTGGAAAACTATGGTTAAGACAGTCATCTGGGAGCTTGGAGACAGTTCCTGAATAGGACTCCCCAGTTATTTGGTTAGTCTTACCCTGTTAGCTCACTACCTCTGCTCTTTACAGTTGGCTATGGCCCTCATTCATAAACTCTACAGTTGACACATACGAAGAAGCAGTTTTTGTTGCTGTTTGTTTGAGTTTTGCTTGTTTTGAGTCAAGATCTTGCTATGAACCCCTGGCTGGCCTGGAATTAGCTACGTAGCCCAGATGGCCTCAAACTTATTGTAGTCCTCCTGCCTCTGACTCTGGAGAGCTGAGATTATAGATGTGTGCACATGAGGACCGGTGATAAACCCAAACAGGGACTGGAGTACCACCTGATCATCTACATAACATCAGTTCTAGACTGTAACACTTCCTATCAAAACATGAAGAAAAACCACAGCCCCCAAAGTGACGTAAACAATCTAAATCAGAGATAGGGTCAGGAAGAAAGCAGCCACCTCCTTTCATGTCATCAGTACATTAATACCGGCACCTTGGATGCATTTGCTCACACTAGCAACAAAACAAGAGCTGGTTAATCAAGGGAGCTTCCCCTTGGCCTAAGTGGCCAGCTAGGTGAGTTTACCCTGGAAAAGCCCAATCCAGCCGGCCAAGAATGGCACCTCAGGTGAGGTGGTCGGTGTAGACAATTGGACATTGTTTTGGAATAACAATGCTTTCTATCTATATCCACGTACAATCTGCAAAGTTAATTTCTGCATCCCTTTGCACATTGCATATAAGAGTGTATATCCTGTATATCTCCAACCCCCCACCAACACGTTATAACTGAGAAAGCACTTATCTACAGGAAACTTATGTGGGTTATCATAACAACACAGAGTACATTTAATTAATCACACTTCCTTTGATATAAATGCCCATCTATGGTCACAGAGAGAACTGAACTGAATGAATACCAATATGATGACCAATAAGAACAGTCTAAACATGAGTGTTATACAACAGAAAGCTTTGATGAGTTGAATGAAAATATTTTACAAAATTAAATAATATATTCACTTGTTTCCTTAGAAAAATTAAGAGTATTTTAAATCTTGGATTTTAAATTCAAAGACTTCTATGTAGTCACTTTTCACATTGTATTTAAGATACAAAATGTACAAGATTTTAATCATTTTGTGTACTTGTATAGTAAGAAAACCATTTACTTACTTCTGGATACCCTCACAAGCTCTGATACATTGAAGACTCCGGATTTTACAAAACTGTCCTCAAGGTATCCTGGAAACAAACATCAAAGGGAAAAATGTCAGCATAAGCAGGGAGGAAAAGTGCCAGTTAAGTTCTAGAATTTGTTCATTTTCAGACTCAAACAAAAGCCAAGGATGCTTATTCTAAAGACAAGTATGAGCAGAACCTGAATATAAACCAAATCTGTTTTTCAAAGGCCAGAAGTATAAATGACAAAAATATTCCATGGAATTTCCCATTAACTTTCTAAATTTGTAATTGGTGGGATCATATTTGCCACGGCCGTTATATTGGGACCGAAGTTTGGGACCCACTCTGAATGCATTTCATCCACAACACCTGGAAGGCCACAGTCTACCATCTTAAAAAAAAAAAGAAAAGGTGGGGGGTAGAGATAGAAAGAAAAAGGAAAACCACAACCACAATCAGCACCTTGTTGGAAATGCTTCAAAGATCTCGCAAAACCACCATTCTTTCACAAATCCTTCCCTGATCAAAGAAAACTGAGCTGTCGCTACCAGAACTGCCAGCCTTGTTCCCAGGTCACATGACTCCCTCTGTACACCAACTTCAACCTGTAAACTTTCAGTTTTCTTTATCCATTTTTAATATTTTCCTACTACTGGATCTCCCTTCCCACCTTCTTTTTTATTTTATTTTATGTTTTTAAGAACTAGATGTCTACTCAGCAAATGACAGCGAATCCAGCCAGGCCTTCAGGGTCCAAGTATAGGCACAGGGTCCACAGCGGTTCTGGACCTTGAGGAAACCCTAGCCTGCTTAGTAGCTCATCTTGCAGTGTCCAGAAGTTTTAAAATTCTTATTTCTATCAAGAGTGTAGTGACAGAAGTAAAAGTCTGAAATGCTCACAGATGAAATACTTCTAGAGCCAATGCCCCAGAGCCCCAGAACCTGTGACTAGACTGGATTTCTCACACAACTTCATAGCGGACCAAGGGTCAGATTCAGTACAGGGAGAAGACACATGGGTGGTGAGCCACACAGAACCATCAAGTCAACGATCTGGGAGGCAAATCCTAATCACAGTTTGTGGTTATGGGATGTTGGTTTTGTGAATGTACTCTATTTTGTTTCAGGGCCCTTGTCTATAAATGAGAGGTAGAAAATTCAGCTACTTGAATTATCGATGCAAGGTAAGGTAAAAACATTAATCTCAGGGTAGAAGCAATCAGGGCTGGGGAAACCAGTAATCCAAGCACACAGGAGGCAGAAGCAGAAGATTCTCTGTGAGTTGTGACAAAGTGAGACCCTGACCCCAAACAACGGTAAACACTAGTTAGATGTGAGCACTACATGAACAGCCGGCAGAGCCAAAACCTGAACACTGCACTGTGCACAAAGAGCCTCGAATCATAGAAGTTGTAAAATTTTACTTAGAAAATTCAGCCACCCAGCGTGCCTAAGAGGTAATTGCTGCAGAGGTACAGGTGGTGTAAGGAGCCACACAGGTGGGAGAGTGGCTTCACACACAACCTGTTCGCCCTTTAGAATGAGCAGAAAGGAAGCACAATGTCTTATTTGATGATAAAGCCTAAGTCTCAAATTTAGTCACTACTCTGGAAAAAATGTATGTATTTCTCTGAGAATAACAAAATGTCCCTAGCTGATGCACTGTTCTTTTAGGAAACTGCTTGAGTAATAAGTTCTTCCCTAGGCTGAATTCTTTGCAGAGATTACTGAGAAATGTCTGTGCAACTAGTCCTCTATAAGGTCATAAATGCAAAAAAAGTCATAAAAGCAAAAAGAGACAATGGATTCCATTTGCCTAGATGGGAACAAATGTTTAAATGTTCTAGGCCCCTGCAGGTTTTGCTGTTTTGTTGGTTTTAAAGACTAGCTTATTAAACTTTATTTTCTAGACAGTAAACATATTTAATATGTCAAGCAGAAACTCATCAGTTATTCAGCATCTCTGGAGCCTATACACTGTTTTATTCTGCAGCTCCTGGAAGACCCCCTCTCTGTACATGCTGCCTTCAACTTTCAATGTCCTGCTGAATGATGACACATTCTGATAAACTGTCCCCTCACCCCACCCTCGGTTTCCTCCGACTCTCTGGCCAAACATAACCCCTGTCCTCTGTGCTCACATCACACCTACTTAGTCCTAATTTTACACTTTACACATTCAGATTTTCCAAGATATTTACTTTCAAGTATTAAAGTCTTTGTTGGATTATCAGTTCCTTTATTTAGGGGAGTGACTAGGTTTTGCTTTTTGCCATATCTCCCTCGGCCACTGACTCATTGCCTATATATAGAGAGTAACTACTAAATGAACACAGTACAGTATTTTAAAATTTAGCTTTTAAAACCAAGGTCATAAATTAACAGCTTAGTAGTCTTACAACCAGATAGCTCTAGCTGGCATAAAATCGAAGGGTACCTGCCCTGGCCCCATCACTCCCTTGAACTTATTTGCTACAGGCATGTCTATTCTGCAGCACTTGGGTCCCAAAATAGCTATGAATGTGGCCTGATACAGTTGCAGATGACACGTTACAACATCAAAAGTGTAGACTCTGGGTACAATAGGAAAAGTAACAATTAGGATCAGATTATAGTCCTGGTTTTGTTGTATTTCAACATGTAACTTTGGGCATATAGTTAGTACAAATTACTAACCCAAGAATTCAAACAGCATCATAAAAAATGCTTGCAAAATAAATTTATGAAAGAGGGCCACTTAGATGGCTCAGGAGGTAAAGTCACCTGCTGCCAAGCCTGACAAATTGAGTCGCATCCCCAGGACCCACACTAACTAACTCTCCCAAGCTGTCCTCTAGCCTTGATAGGTATGTGTGTGTACATACACACAAATAATATAAAATCGATGAATGAGTAAGAGAATACGTGTTTTATAGTATATTTACATGAATTATATCACATGTAATACAGACTATCTCAAAATATAGTTATCATCTTAAGTTTATTTCATCATAACCATGAGTAGTTAAGGCTCCACATGCTTCTAAGTCACATGGATTAAGATAGGTGGAGTCGCCGGGCAGTAGTGGCACATGCCTTTAATCTCAGCACTCAGGAGGCAGAGCCAGGTGGATCTCTGTGAGTTCGAGGCCAGCCTAGGCTACAGAGTGAGATCCAGGAAAGGCACTAAGCTACACAGAGAAACCTTGTCTCAAAAAACAAAACAAAACAAAACAAAACAAAACAACAACAACAAAAAAAGATATGTGGTGTGGCGACACACTGAGCCTAATCACAAGGGAGGAATAAACCACCTCAAACCTAATTTTACGCAGGAAGATAGGCAGTCAAACACAAAATGATGAATAAGAAATTGAGATCTATAAGGAAAAATGAAAGACTTGTTTTTACCAAAACTATGAAAAAATAATGGAAATATATCAGAACCCAGTTAGTTGATAAAATGTTACTCCACAGGACCCACTGGGCTCTGCTCCTGGGCAGCTCATAGAGAGATCCCAGTGAATGGAACATTGCCAAAGAGCAGTAATAACGCCCACTGACAATAAGCCAAAAGGCTGGTGGTGGGTGGGGAGCAGGTGATGGGTAGCTGGGGTTTGTAGTGGCACTTTCTACTTCCCGTGTCTGCACACAGCACAACCTCTACAATGGACAAGAGTCACCTAGGACAGGCAGAGAAAAGAATGAATGGCATAGCTCCTGAACAGCTAAGAGTGCCTGCTCCAGGAGACAAAAGACAAACACTTGAGCAAAGAATTGGGAAGGATCTTTCTCACAGTGGGTCCAGAACCCTGCAATAATAGAGCCAGAGATTCAGTAAAACACCATGGTACTGCTGAGGCCATAAAACTCATGGTAGCCTCCAGGCTATGCAGACTCAGAGAAGCACGGTTTCACATGCTACACGGTCCACTGTAAATCTCAACAGCTAATGCAAAGGCCAGATATCTTCAAGTAATTTGGAAAGATTCAGAGTAAACTCACTTCATGTTCAAAGGAAATGTGCCCGTCTTTGAGACAGAGCAGCTGCTTAATGGTTATAGAGCAGTAGTACACAAGAGCGTAAGCCGGGAGAAAAGAGGAACTCCGAATTTGTGCACTGCTGTATTTACATACATCTATGCTCTTTAAGAAGAAAAAATTGAGTGGGAAATAAAGAGCTTCACAAACAGAAAAGTCTCAAAGGCAATATCAAATTATATTATTTTACTTCTTTTTTTATTTTTCTCTAACAAAACAACAGTAAATCACTACTCAGAAGTTAATATAGTGTTTAACCTCCTTTATAAACAATAACAGAAGGGACACAATGGCATATCTGTTAATATCTCAAATTATAATCAGCACCATTTAAATGTTAAGCAACATTTACATAGAAAATCCAAGGGAAGAATGATAACACTCATTTTTATGGTCTACTGTGTTCTATTCTTGAAATTAAAAAAAAAGCCACAGGGAAAGCAGTTATTAAATTCATGAGAGCTGTCTTCAAGTATTTGAAGGACTGTTAATGTAGATGGTAGATTAGACTTATTCGGAATAATTCCAGGAGCTGCTTTTTGGCTCCCTAAACAAACAGATCTGCCATCCAATGAGAAACATCCTAAAAAGCAATGTGAGACTGCAGTGTTAATGTTAACCAGCAGATGCCCAGTGACTATGCTTAAAAAGCCTTCAAAACCACAATGCGGCAAGAGCCATGACTCAGTACTGTCACCATTTTAGGAGACGAGGGACCTTCTCCCTCCAGAGGTGGGAAGCTTCCTGTCGGGTCTGGGCACCGCCATCGGACATGAGAATTCTCACTTTGGGTTAAAAATAAAAACAAACCAAAAGGCACAAACTTTCCACAAGGCCCTCTTGAGCCCCTCAGCTCCACTTTCTTCTGTGTGTTTTCCCTGTGTTACTTTTCCTGCACTCTTCTTTCAGAGAAGGGATGATGGCATAAGACACCTACCAGGTGCCACCTAGCCTTTGATTCCAATAGTTTGCTTCTGTCAGCAGAATGGCGTGACTTAACTCTCCATTTATGGGTGCCAAGGGGATATGGGGAAATCATC